ACCAAGTCAGGAATATAACAGTTGCTTTTCGCTCGTTCCATTGGTTAAAAACGTTTGATTTTGTCAGTTTTTATGGACGCCCCTCTTTTTGAATTTACACTAGAGTTCGGTATTTCTGTTATACCTTTAATACTGTACGGTCTGGGGTTTGCTCATTGTTGAAGGCCGTATGGTGACCCCTAGTTACTAACATCCACGTCTTTTGGTCTTTTGTAGATACATGTTGTTGTAGTTGTCTTATTTGGCAAGCATACCATACTCCGTATTGCTATATTGGTAAACAAATTGATTAAAAAAAACGGTGTCCTAGTCTTTAATTTGTTTAAACATTTTTTATTGTTCCGTTAGTGGTTCGTTCTGAATATGCATGAAATAACTGCCATTGGACTTTCAACAAGCAACATTTAAATAATCCATTCCTTGGTTCCTCTCTAGATGTCGAAATAATTACCGGAAGTTATTAGATCTTATATTGAATAATTGGATAACCTACTTTCTCATAAGTTTTGTAATCATGATACCAATTATTTTTATAATCATTTTCAGATGCTGTAATGAGATATAACAAAAAGAAATAGTCAAAACTACAACCAATATGAACAACTCTCGACAATTCAAAATAATGGCAATCATTATATTTACTTTATGTGTTATAATTGTATGTATGGTAAAAACTATTTTACATAAGAACTTTTGTAAAGAAAACTGCGCATACTTGACGCCGCAGAGAACAGTTACGACACAAATGCTGCAATATAAAAGGAATATTATCATACAATCAAAATATCCAACGGTTTTTACACAATCTTATAAAATAAATAATAAGGACATTTGTAAAAATATTTCCAAGCTTTCGTGTATTGTAATGGTATACTCGTCTCCGAATCATTATGAAAGGAGGGAAGTATTGAGAAAAACTTTTTTGAACTCGACATTTTACATGCAAGAAACTATAAGAGTGATCTTTCTACTTGGGGAAGTTTATAATTCTTCACTACAGCACGCAATTGAACAGGAAAATCTTGTTTTCAACGACATCATACAGGGGAAATTTATAGATTCCTATCGTAATTTGACTCTTAAAGGAGTGTTGGGATTCAAATGGATTTCCGAAAATTGTCGAAATGCTGAATTTGCTGCCAAAATAGATGATGATGTGATAGTCAACTTCTTTAAAATCTTTCGATATTTTTCATTCATTAGATTAAAAAGGAGATATTTGATGTGTGACAAGGTGAAACCAAACGTATATCCGATACAACGTAAAGCAAGTGATAAATGGAATGTGCACAGCGATGAGTTTAAAAGGATGATGCGTTATCCTTATACTTCTTGTTTAGGTCCGGCAGTATTTATATCTAGAGATCTGATTCCGATTTTATATACGACTGCATCAATGTCGCCATTTTTCTGGATAGATGATGTTTATCTGTTCGGAATACTTCCCTCAAAGATTCCAGGTTTAGTTCACCACGGGATCAATCAGAATGTTTCATATAATTACCAATACACAGCAGACTGTTTTGGAAAGCAGCGAAAAGAATGTGGTTTGATAGTGGGTATGCCAGACCCTCGAGATACTACTGCAACGGTCAAAATCTGGAACTCTTTGATACATTTGTAAATAATATACATTAAAAAGTAATACATTATATCTTGTATAAGTTGCGATTCAATCAATCTGAATCAATTATGAAATTTATTACAACGTTTATGTCCTTTACTTAGATAGAATGAGAGTAACCATTGTGCTTTTTTCTTTCCCTTTTAATTCATTTTGAGTTCAAATTTTCGAATGACAATTTTCAGGATAGGATATGATATATATGCACATTTAGATTTCAAATGTTTGATTTTCTATAATGCAGTTTTGAATGATATAAAACATATCGATATGTTTATATCTGCCATAGCCTGGTCTCAATCTGCTCCCGTGTTCTTTATGTTCTCTGTCAATTACTTTCTAAAATACTTGAGACTAGTCACTAGTATAGCAATGATAGGTCACATTAAATGTTACTCAGATGTCTCTTTTTGTAGAACCCCCAAGGGTGACCGGGGAATAGAAGTATGGTCACTACAGGTCTTCTTCCGACCGGCAGTAAAACCCTTGCAAAGTGGGGCGTCCGTTTGGCTGTGCGAGATGTATCAAGTACGCAGTCACGTCCGGTCAGAATGGGAACGTTAAATCCGTTGCCTCGCTCTCTGCACGTTAGGAACCATTGAAACAACTCTTTGAGGGGTCCGTAGGTGGCCTGTTACAAGGTTAAATTTCTATTCCTATCCAATTTACCCTCATTTTTCAGTGGTAGTCTAAATTTTCCCGACCTTTATCCCGCCGGCCTCTATAAAGGACATACCTATTGTATTTATTATTAATTTGTTCTCGTCCTGAACATGCATGAAATATTTGCCATCGGACGTTAAGGAACCAACTATCAATCAATCAATCTTTTGTAGACAAATAAGGGTTGACTTTTCTGTGTTCTTAAACAAACTATTTCATTTAAATTTATTACGTAAATATAATAGTTAAGTTCTGAAAAGTAGTTTGACTAGGTTAAAAATGAAATTTTGACTACAGTTGGAGAAAAAAAGATATGCGAAAGAGGCAGACATTTTACCTTGCAACAGACGACCTACGGAACCATATTACATAAATGTTGGAAGGTCTATTCACGTGGAAGCTTCTCGACACGGTGTTTCAGATTTCAGGCACCAATTCTCCTTTTGGTAGAGTCGTACCCCTCAGACTGAGAACAATAACCTAAGGTATATATAGGAGCGTGATTTAACGATTACATATATGATTGTATAAGGAGATATGGTACGTTTGTAAATGATACAAATCTCCATAAGAGATCAAGGACGCGGATGCATATATGTAAGAGATAAAATGTCTGCCTCTATCAAAGAATACAGGTAATATTTCTACCTCTACTAGAAAAGCTGAATTAAGTTATTTCCTTTTTTATTGATACAATGAAATAGTTGGAATTCTATAAATTTAATTTTGTGTTTGTGTTTTTCTAAATGTTGGTAAATTAAACTTTTGAATTTCTTAGGTCTATGGAAGAGGTATAGAAGTTCTTGTGTTCGTTTGAATCACTATTCAAAACTAAAGAAAAGGACATTGAGCATTGATACCTTTAAAATATTCTAAGTTTGTGTGTTCTTATAGACGTATGTTGTTATGTCAAAATACTGTCCCAGGTAAGGATAAGGTTTAATGCTGTGTTAATACTCCATCACATGGCTTATACGCCTGTCCCGAATCATGAGATTGTAATTTGAAGGTTGTCTTTTGTTGCCAATTGCGATATTTGTTTTTTCTTTATTGTTTTAGCATAAACATAAACATTTTGTCATGCCGGACTTTTCGTAACTTACTGTAAACAACTGTCTTGCAAGTGGGAGGTTTAGAGCGCTAACGCTCGTTCTTAATCATGAAGAAAAAAATTATCATTTTCTTACATATTGCTAATTAACATTTGCATTAAATGCAAATTTGATACAGTCATACGATAAAGTAATTTATTGACTTCAACAATATATAACAATACATTACTTCTTTACAGTATGTAATACACGAAAATGATAATCAGGGAAACAAAATACCGGCCAGTCCATTAGACCAAGAACAACAACAACACCAAACTCACCAACTAAAGTAACAGACACACAAAATCAAACACCAACGAACAACACACTCTCCGGATAGACTGACTTTGATCATGCAGATATGCAGTGGGGCTAAGTCAATTTAACATGTGTACCAATTTCACCATTGACCTATCTAGACCATATGTTGAAAATTAATGCTAAAATAAGATTGTATTAAAATTGTGGTTTTATTTATTTTCCAATTTCATCACCAAATCCTTATTCTAATCATTAGGAAAGCCTGGAATTCTTTCAGTAGCTGTTTTTTTTATCTATGTTACACTGAAGTACACTGTTTAACAAGTCTATTTTCTTTCACCTCAATACCCTTTTTAATTTTGGTAAACGGGTTAAAAAAATAAATTTAGTTTATTGTAAGTTAATTGTAGTATGAAAACCAGGACGGGTTCAAACAGAAAGATTTTGAAAGCAGAGAAAACTGTGCACCCCACAATCAGCATCGTCATGATTTTATCAGATGACAATACGAATACTAAAAATCTAGGCTACAAATAAAGCATTGGTACTTTAATTCAGTCACGGACCCGCTTGTTCTAGTAAGTTATAAATAAAAGGAGACGCGGGGTATACACCATTTCGATAATATCCATACGACATGAAAATAACATAAAAAAACATCAACATATAGTTTATTGGTCTTATTTTGCGCCTATATTTTTTTTGGTCAATTCTTCGTAAAATTCCATATTAGTGTAGTACAAGTTTAGTAATGCTAGCGTGCTTTTAATATTGCAAACAATCTGTGTAATACGGTACTATTACTAAAGGTTTTTTTTTTTATTGTATTAAGCTTAAGGTTTATGGGGTTTTTTTTTCAAGTAATGCCTGTATTTCGGAGTCAATACATTTTCCTTTCCGGATTTGTATTGCATGTTCTTACTGTTTTTCAATCGATTGATATCAGTTACAATTGAGATCTGTGAAAATTATATAGTAACGCTGTTCCTTGCCATTGTTGTTTTATTGTGTATCTAAAATCTTCCATGAATACCAGTTCCCAATTATCAATTGGGAACTGGTATCGATGGAAGATTTTAAAAATACTTATTGTCACAAAAATTTAGGTCATATAAATATATATTCGTTTAGAATTCAATGGAATTACCTGCATTTCAAATAAGATATGAAGCAGCATCACCGCTTAAATTTGCATATTTTTTTCTATTGTTTGTGGGAAATTGTTTTCTGGAGTATGTGTGATTTTTTTTTTTTTTTTTTGGTTTCGAATAAATTATTCCTGTTACGTCAGTTTGGTCTTTACTGTATATATTGCTAATATCCAATCACAAAACTAAGGCATTAACTGCCAACTCGTCATGAGAGGTACATGTAATTCGAATATAAACAGACTGTTTCTGCTCGATCGTACAGAAACGTGGAATAAAGGGAAATTGGAAATTCCAATTATAAAACAACGAAAACAACAACAAAACCAGTACTTCTACTTCATAAATGAAGAACATATTTTGATCCTTTACTCATAACAACTAAAAACATCTATTTCAAATGGAGATGCAAATTTAACTCATACCCAGGATAAGTTATACATTAAAGAACGTTCATAATTCATTTCATATTTCTGAATTAACAAACGTGATGAACACGAGTCAGACAAAAGTTGTTCAAGCAAAATACTTTTCTACCTATATAGCCAAAACGATCCTTCGTGCATTATAAACAGTCCATCTTTGTCTTGTCGAACCAAAGTCAAACGTAACAATGTTTAATATTTCTATATAACTATGATGATGATCGTAAGAAACACTCATAAAAAAATCATTGGATGTTACGGCAAAGTTGAAGGCCTCACTGTGACTTTGAGATGAAAAACGGCAATAAAAGCGAGGTTCTTTTGCTTCTTGTGTTTTTGCTGTGTATGTTCTGATTTTGTGTCATGAATGGATACCCCATGTCCTTTCTTTTCTGTTACGAATATACACGAACAGCAAACAGTACTCTTCCTATCAATGACAATTTTGTTTCATAATAAAGTTTTATAGTTATCGTTCTTAATAAGGTAAGCACTGTGCAATAAGCAAATGGCTATTACATTAAATTCTATATATATGCGTCATGTGATATAGAGTTGCATTTTCAGGACGAGAACAGTTTTTACGATACGCAGTTTTGATATTACAAAAACAATTTGCCGAGCCGGATTTTTAACGTGTTGTCCCGCGCCGTGACAGTTTGCTTAAGACATGTCGTATGATTCAGATACATAAGTCTGATGTTTGGATTTTATGGTACTATATAAAGTATTCTAAATGATTCATATGGATAAACTATCTAATCTATACATTATATTACTGTACTGAACAATACCGAAACTATTAAATTCCATTGATAATAGATTATTAAATTATACAACTTGTAATATATTGTTACAATTTGTTGTCAGTTCATGTTAACTGTCAAAGCTAATCCGACAGGGTTAAATAAATTAGGCTTTAATGGAAATGAACCACGAAAAACGGGTGTAATAATTAAAGCTGATGTCATGTTTTGAAAGCTTATCAGTCAATATAAATATGGAAACACAGGATACAAATAATCAAAATTTTCCATTCAACTTTTTGTCCTTACAATATATGTGAAATCTACGGAAATACTTGAAGTGACAAAGTCAAAATAAATTTGTCTTTAGAAAATTTCTCAAAGTCTAACTTTCGACATGCAAATGTTAAAGTTCAAAATAACAATTTATGACTTGAAATTTTGACTTTAAAAATCATTGAAATTTTAAGACTTAATGATTCAACATTGTTTTTTTCATTCAAAAAAGTTGGCTTTGAAAAAATGTCCAATACTAGAACTTCCAAATATTCTTCCGTAGAAATCATAAGTGATACATGCAAATGGAATTGATTGGATCTGACATGCTGTAATATTTCAAATTTTGATTACAGTCAAACAATATCTAAATAATTACGTAAGTTTGGTTTTGGTTTTACAAGTTTTCATTTCTGTGCATTGAGGTTTATTTCTTAAACATTTGAGTAAACGAATAGCGTTCAAAGTTTTTATTTGTAAATATTTCATCATTATCTATTGTTATCAAAGTGTTAAAGTAATAGAAATGGGAAATCACTAGAATGAGATGTGTATGGTACAGGCATTTTCTTAATTAAGGCATTTTGTAAACATTTGTGAACATATACAAAACGCAACATAAAAAAATAACGACTGAGCAACACGAACCCCACCGAAAATCAAGGGTGATCTCAGGTACAGCGGAAAGGAAATAATGTAACTTCGAAGTACTCTAAGATTGGTAATTTGTGTCCTTTGTTAGTTGTTATTTGTGCTTTGTGCCAATCTGATGAGTCAAGCCGTTTTCAATCGATTGTTTACAGTGTGTTCTTATAGACGTATGTTGTTATGTCAAAATACTGTCCCAGGTAAGGATATGATTTAATGCTGTGTTAATACTCCATCAAATGGCTTATACGCCTGTCCCGAATCATGAGATTGTAATTTGAAGGTTGCCTTTTGTTGCCAATTGCGATATTTGTTTTTCTTTATTGTTTTAGCATAAACAAATTGCCCCGTTGTTTTTCTCGTTTGAAATGCACATTTTGTCATGCCGGACTTTTCGTAACTTACTGTAAACAACTGTCTTGCAAGTGGGAGGTTTAGCTTGCTATAAAACCAGGTTTAAACCACCATTTTCGCCAACAAATGCCAGTACCAAGTCAAGAATATGACAGTTGCTTTTTGCTCGTCCATTGGTTGAAAACGTTTGAGTTGGTCAGTTTATGGACGCCCCCTTTTTGAATTTACGCTAGAGATCGGTATTATTGTTATAACTTTAATACTGTATGGGTTGCTCATTGTTGAAGGCCGTATGGTGACCTATAGTAACCAAAATGCACATCTTTTGGTCTCTTGTAGATACATGTAGTTGTAGTTGTCTTATTTGTTGGTAAGCATTCCGTACTCCGTATTGCTATATTGGTAAACAAATTAATTAAAAAAAAAACGGTGACCCCAAATCTTTAATTTGTTTAAACGATTTTTATTGTTCCGTTAGTGGCCATTTCTGAATATGTATGAAATAGTTGCCATTGGACGTTCAGCAAGCAACAATTAAATAATCAATTCCTGGGTTCCGTTCTATATTTCAAAATAATTACTAAAAGTTATAAGTCCTTATTTTACATAAAGGGATAACATTCTTTCTCATAACTCTTGTAATCATGATGCTTATTGTTTAAATAATCATTTTCAGATGCTGTATGAGATATAACCAAAGGAAATATTCAAAATTGCAACCAATACGAACAAGTGTCGACAATTCAAAGTAATGGCAATCAGTTTTTTTTACTTTTTATAATTGTATATACGGTAAAAACATTCTACATACGAACTCCTATAAAGATAATTGCGCATATTTAACGATGCAGATAACAGTTAAGATACAAACGATGCAGTATAAACGGTATATTATCATACAACCAAAATACCCGACAGCTTTGACACAATCTTATAAAATAAATAATAAGGACATTTGTAAATATATTTCCAAACTTTCGTGTATTGTAATGGTTTACTCGTCTCCCAAGCAGTATGAAAGGAGGGAAGTATTGAGGAAAACGTTTTCGAACACGACGTTTTACATGCAAAAAACTATAAGAGTGATCTTTCTACATTGGGAAGTTTATAATTCTTCACTACAGCACGCAATTGAACAGGAAAATCTAGTTTTTCACGATATCATAGAGGGGAAATTTATAGATTCCTATCGTAATTTGACTCTTAAAGGAGTGTTGGGATTCAAAAGGATTTCCGAAAATTGTCGAAATGCTGAATTTGTTGCCAAAATAGATGATGATGTGATTGTCAACTTCTTTAAACTTTTGCGATATTTTTCGTTCATTAAATTAAGGAGATATTTGATGTGTAATAAGGTGAAATCAAACGTATTTCCGATACAGCGTAATGCAAGTGATAAATGGAATGTGTTCAGCGATGAGTTTAAAAGGATGATACGTTATCCATATACTTCTTGTTTAGGTCCGGCAGTATTTATATCTAAAGATCTGATTCCGATTGTATATACGACTGCATCAATGTCGCAATTTTTCTGGATAGTAGATATTTATCTGTTCGGAATACTTCCCTCAAAGATTCCAGGTTTAGTTTACCACAGGATCAATCAGAATGTTTCATATACTTACCAATACACAGCAGACTGTTTTGGAAAGCAAAAAAAAGAATGTGATTTGATAGTGGGTATGCCGGACCCTCGAGACAATATTGCAACGGTCAAAATCTGGAACTCTTTGCTACATTTGTACATATTATACATTAAAAAGTAATACATTATATCTTGTATTAGTTGTGATTCAATCAATCTGAATCAATTAAGAAATTTTATCATTCCTTTACTTAGATAGAATGAGAGTAACCATTGTGCTTTTTTCTTTCCTTTTTTAGTTTTATTTTGAGTTTTAGAATGACAATTTTCAAGATGGGATTTGATATGTTTTATGTCTGATTTTCTATCATAATGCAGTTTTGAATGATTTAAAACATATCGATATGTTTATATCTACCAGAGCCTGCTCTCCATCTGATCAATCCCGTGTTCCTTATGATTCTCTGTCAATTACTTTCTAAAATACTTAAAGACTAGTCACTTGTATACCAATGATAGGTCACATTAAATGTCACCGAGATGTCTCTTGTTGTAGACGTTTTAATAAGAAGGATTGACTCTTCTTTGTTGTTAAACGAATTATTTCATGTAAATGCATTGCGTTAATATAATAGTTATGTTCTGAAAGGTAGTTTGACTAGGTTAAAAAGGAACTTTTGACTACTGTTGGAGAAACAAAAAGATGTTCAGAGAGGCAGACATTTTAACTTGCAACAGGCGACCTACGGAACCATATTACATAAATGTTGGAAGGGCTATTCACGTGGAAGATTATCGACACGGAGTTTCAGATTTCAGGCACCCATTCTCCCTTTGGTAGAGTCGTACCCTCAGACGGAGAACAATAACCTAAGGTATATATAGGAGCATCATTTAAAGATGATATCTATGTTTGTATAAAGAGATATGGTACGCTTGTAAATGATACAACTTTCCATAAGAAATCGAGGACGCGGTGTGTATATATGTAAGTGAAAACATGTCTGCCTCTATCAAAGGAGATTCACCTGATGTCGAGTATCGAGTTGCTAGTTACGAAAGTCGAATTGCGAGTTACGAAGGTCGAGTAGCGAGTTACGAAGGTCGATTTGCTAGTTACGAAAGTCGATTTGCGAGTTACGAAATTAGATTTGCGTGAAAATGGGGAAAACTATTTAAATTTTTTGGTGTACCTCTTTAACATTTTTGAATGATGATTGCTTATAGAATTGTATACAGTATTGTTGATTCTTTTTGTTGTTTGGACTTCATCTGAGTCGCGTGTAAAAAAAATATGAATGGATTGCTTACATAAACACTACGCAAAGTATGGTTATTTTCTGAAGAAACAGATAGCCTTTTGAAATACAGCGGAAGCCTTTTAGTTTAATTATCATTGAATTGCATAGCTAGCACCGTCATATTAAACGTAAAGGGAGATAGCAACTAAAGTATAGAACATATATGTAAAAGACCCCTTCTGCAGATTTTGTTTAGAGTGGGCTCTTTGGGGTAGCTGCAGAGGTAATATTTGTTAGGGACCCTAAAATTAATTCTTTGGCAGTGACACTCAAAATTGTAGACGTGTAAGTTATATATGTTTACATTGGCTAGAGGTGAAGGGGGATGGTTGAGCGCTTATAAAACCTGATTAACCCTGCCGCATTTTTGCGTCTGTCCTAAGTCAGGAACCTCTAGCCTTTGTTGTTCTTGTATATTTTTTAATTTTGGTTCATCTATATGTTTTGGAGCATAGAATGGCGTCCATGTTCTTGATCTAGTGTACATTGTGTTTCGGGGCCTGCTCGGGGCTGCCTCTGGGTGTGGGATTTCTCACTGTGTTGAAGACCCATTGGTGGGCTTGGGTTGACTTGTATATTTTGGTTTGGTTGTTGTCTCTTTACAATTCCCCGTTTCCATTCTTTATTCTATACATGTAGCTGTCAAAGATACTTTTGTAAAAGAGACAAAAGACGCAGTTTTTGAATATATAACTTCTTTCTAAAAAACGGGTTAATCATACAAAAATGTACAATACCCAGCTGATATCTGAAACTACACAATTTGTATCAAGGCTGCATGCAGGTAAAAAAGTTAACTTGTGACAGACAAGGCTTCCGTGCTCATACCGTAAAAACACACGCCATAACATTCCTTAAAACTGTTCCTTTATTTTTTGTAACAGCGGTATAGCTTATTGTAGAATAACGTCTTTCCAAATAATAAAAAAATCCATATTATGATCTCCTATGCCAGGAAGTTACCATAATGCCATAAAAAGACATCTATAGCATGCTTATTTTTGCGTTGTAGTGTTCAGATATACATACATTGAACAACTCGATTATTAACTATTTGGTATATATATACACTCTCCGCTTGGGGTTGAATCACAAAGTTAACAAAGTTCAAAATTATTTAATGTATCACATAAAACACATAGCATATCACATTTCTGACTAATTCATGAGATATTTTCCTAAGTTAAATGTGAAATTGTGCCTATATCACTCTAAACCTTTGCGAAAGAAGAAGAGTTAGTACTTAGCAACACGACGGGTGCCACATGTGGAGCAGGATCTGCTTACCTTTCCGGAGCACCTGAGATCACCCCCAGTTTTTGGTGGGGTTCGTGTTGCTTAGTCTTTAGTTTTCTATGTTGTGTCATCTGTACTATTATTTGTCTGTTTGTCTTTTTATTTTTGGCCATGGCGTTGTCAATTTGTTTTCGATCTACGAGTTTGACTGTCCCTCTGGTATCTTTCGTCCCTCTTTTAGTATGCTAATGAATATCCGTTATCCAAGCGTCACTGATTTGTCTTGTATAGACGAAATGCGCGTCTGGCGTAGAAAATATTATAAGCCTGGTACATTTGATAAGTATTTATTTTAGGCCTAACACAGTGCCATATTCTGTGAGATGTCGATAATTTGCAAGTACATGTCATTTGTCTACATGATTTATTTCTTATGCTTGTTTGTTGAGTACGGTTTACATTTTGTCTTATATCTACAGTATATCCTGTTTTATTTTAGAAAATGAACAATGTCGCTCTCATGAAAGAAATTTAAGCGTGCGTGACTTTGCAACATATAGACACTTATAGGTTCAATCCACCATTTTCTACATAAGAAAATGCCTGTACCAAGTCAGGAATATGACAGTTGTTATCCATTCGTTTGATGTGTTTGAACTTTTGATTTTGCCATTTGATTAGGGACTTTCCTTTTTGTATTTCCACGGAGTTCAGTATTTTTGTGATTTTACTTTTTATTTTCTATAAAGCAGTATCATATAACTCTTTCAAATCCTGCAATCAAAATACCGGGACCCTTCCTCATGCAGTGTATAACTAAGTTCGGATAGATGTATGCTTAGTTGATTAAATGCGAAGTAAACCTTAAATTTCTGTTTCAAAACTTAGACGACACGACAGTTTATATATCTATAATTCTTCAGAAATTAGAGAAACATAAATAAAGGCAACAGTAGTATACCGCTATTCGAAATTCATAAATCGATTAAGAAAAAAACAAATCCGGGTTATAAACTAAAACTGAGGGAAACACATCAAATATAAGAGGAGAACAACGACACAACAGAAACACAACACAAAAATGCAACACACACAGAAGCGAACTATAATATAACAATAACCATTTTCCTGACTTGGTACAGGACATTTTAAGAAAAAAATGGTGGGTTGAACCTGGTTTTGTGGCTAGCCAAACCTCCCGCTTTTATGGTAATGTTAAATATAACATTAAAATGACAAGATAACATGACAGGACTACAATAAAAATAAATGGGAGAACATACAGGACCGAGACACACACAAATAATAGCTATCAAAAGGTACCAGGTTTATAATTTAATACGCCAGACGCTCGTTTCGTCTACATAAGACCCATCAGTGACGCTCAGATCAAAAAAGTTCGAAAGCCAAAACAAGTACAAAGTTGAGGAGCATTGAGGACCAAAAATTTCAAAAAGTTGTGCCAAATACGGCTAAGGTTATATGCCTGGGATAAGAAAATCCTTAGTATTTAGAATAATGCATACTTTTGCAAGCAGTAAATTTACAAAAATGACTATATAATAGATATACATGTTAACACCGAAGTGGTGACTAACTACAGAATAACAACGAATACGTAAAACAACCTAAATCAGCACATAAAAAAGGCACAGCCGAATAACGTATTATATGTTAGCCGAAGAGATCGACGCACAATGTGACGTCACATATAAATTTCTATAAATTTCCAAAAAATAGGATATAGTTCAAGATTAGGTTTGTAAAACTGATATAACATGTATTAATAACAATGAAAATTACAATACTTATTAATATACAATTGTGGTAGTAATTAGATAATTAATTGTATTATCAAGCTATGTCGGTATTTCTTCTTAATCAAACTGTAAACCAAATACATCATATAAATTTAGTTGGCCCAAACTAAAATCTTATAAATGAACTGGGTGATTAATTATCTTTACCGTAACATACAAATAGAACAGAAAAAAATAAGATTTACAACTACAAACGATAAGACATTTGACAAAATCCGATGAAAATAACAAATATAACATCAAAACTAAATACATGGATTTTGGATAGAAATATACCGTGACACGTCTTATAGCAATGCGAATTCACACTCAGCAAAACAGTCACAATCGGGAATAAGTCACGTTCGGTACTTAAAAGGGGGGTATAAAAGATCAGACGACGTAATGGCATAACAAAATCTAATACGTGGTAAAAATGTCCTTTGTTAGTTTGGACAAAGACACATCGTATCAATCAACCAATTCTTGATATTGTCCATAAAATTTACGGAGTGTCATTTTTAATCTGTCCTCCTCATAACTTTGTTGGAGCAGTTTCTGCGTTAGGAACACACTCCTGTATATGAAGTCCGTATAGTGTGAACATGCACGATCATAACGTATCAACTGAGATATGTAAACACCATACGAAGGGGCAGCGGGTATGCTACTGCTGAGAAATAGGAAATTGATAATTGGGAAGTTGAAATCGTCCCGTTTATCATAAATTTTCGTGTGAAGTCGTCCATCTGTGTCAATATTGAGGAAAAGATCAAGGTATGAAGCAGTCCTTTTAGTATCAGTAGTATCCTTAATTTCAAGTTCACTGGGATATATGAGATGTAAGTATTGGCTGAAATATGGGTTATTCAATGATAGGACATCATCAATATATCTGAAAGTAAAATTAAAGAATTTCGCAAGGTGATGTTTCTTTTTGTCTTTTAGAAGGTTCTGAATGAATTCTGCTACATACGAGTACTAAAACAAATCGGCCAGTAGGGGTGCACAATTAGTACCCATTGGAATACCGACTGTCTGTTGAAATAGCAATCCTCCAAACTCAACAAATATATTGTCGATCAAAAAGTCAAGCATTTTTATAATATCATCTTCAGTATATTTTCTGGTAGATATTTTCGTAACTCGCAACTCGACCTTCGTAACTCGCAACTCGACTTTCTTAACACGCAACTCGACTTTTGTAACTCGCAACTCGGCCTTTTCAACTCGCAACTTGCAACTCGACGTTAAGAAACACTCCTATCAAAGGATGAAGGTAATATTTCTACCTTCAGAAAAGCTGAAAATGCAATTGTTACCTGAAATTAGATATTTCCTATTTTTTATATACAATAAACGCGAGCTTGGTTGTGCATAAAGTGAGGATTAAGTGATCAAAACAACTCAATTGTCGTTTTGTATTTTCTCATGCCGGAAAAGATTGAAATAAACTAAAATGAAAAAAATCATAATTTTCTCAAATCTCTTGTATACGAGAATGAACGACTTATCAACTTATTCACGCTTAGATCGACTGGAATTTTTTTATTTGACTAAAACACACAGTACAAAGAAATAACTAAAGGATAAAATAACTAATAATAAAAGACCGTTAAGTACAGTACATCGATCTTAGACCAGCATATCGATCCCTTATAAATAAGAAGAAGTTGTATGAGTGCCAATGAGACAACTCTCCATCCAAGTCACAATGTATAAAAAGTTAACAATTATCTGGATTGATTTTAGCCTTGACAATCTAAGCAAGAGTTGTGTCCCTTGGTCTGTCAAACGTCCGGTTTTCGTTTGAGTCGAAATACGGGTATCTCGAAATATTTCTCTTGTCCGGCTGACTTTGAGAAAAGGAGAGTCGATAAAAAAATCATGTAAAATCAGTGTAAAACTAGAACGATGTTGATTGCGGTTAATGCGATTGCCAGGTGACCTGTGATTGCGTTGTCTTTTATTAATAATAGTCGTGATATCAAAAGAGGAAATTTTAGATGTGTTCCTTTAGCCCATGATATTGTCATTTAGATTTAAGAGATACGTTGTATGTAGTTGTTTAATCCAAGACAGTTGCAAATTTTACGGGAATCTTCAAACTATTTATGTGATTGTCCTGCTTGCTTATGGACGGTTTGAAATAGTTGGAATTTTATAAATTTAATATTGTGTTACTTTGTGTTTTTCTAAATGTTGGTAAATTAAATTTGAATTTCTTAGGTCTACGGAAGCGGTATAGATGTTCTTGTGTTCGTTCGAATCATTAATCAAAACTAAAGAATAGGACATTGAGCCTTGAAACCTTTAAAATATTCTAAGATTGCAAAAGAAAAATAATCCTTTTCTTCGCGATTAGTACTCGCTAACGCTCGTTCTTAATCACGAAGAAAGGAATTATCATTTTCTAACATATTGTTAATCAACATTTCCACTAAATGCAAATTTGATACAGTCATGCGCTAAAATCATTTATTGATATCAACAATATATAACAATACATTACTTCTCTACAGTATGTAATACATGAAAATGATAATCAGGGAAACAAAATATCGGCAAGTCTATAAGACCAAGAACAACAACAGTACCCAACTTACCAAATAAAGTAACAGACAAACAAAATCAAACACCAACAAACAACACACGGTCCGGATAGACTGACTTGGATCATGCAGATGTTCAGTGGGGTTAAGTAATTTCAACATGAGTACCAATTTCACGATTGACCTATCTAGACCATATGTCGTAAATAAATGCTAAAATAAGATTGTATTAAAATTGTTCTTTTTATTTATTTTCCAATTTCATCACCAAATCCTAATTTTAGTAGGATTGATATCTGTATCTGTAATACCCGCAAGTAACTTACATTTATCTCCATACTTTGAGAAGCAGTTGAATGTTCTTCGATGATTGAAGGAAATATGTGCATTAATTTCATAATGCACAACACCGTGAATCTTTGCAGGTAAAATACCAAATAAATAAAAATCATCCACCCAGAAAAATGGCGATATTAATGCAGCTTTGTATAACAAAGGAACTAAGTCAATTGAAATAAACACGGCCAACCCACTACATGAGGTGTATGGATAAAAATTAAATCCTTTGAATACATCACTGTGTACGTACCATTTATCGTTGATACCACGTTCTATGGGATTTGTATCTGCTTCCAATCTATTACAAGCCAAATACTTTTTCACCTCTTTTATAAATTCTAAACTTTCAAAAATTTTGTAAAAATTAATAAATACGTCATCGTCTATTTTTGCGACAAATTTGGCGTTTCTGCAATGTTCTGTAATCCATTTAAGACCCATGACTCCTTTATTAGTTAAATTATGGTAGGTGTCCATGAAATATCCCTGAACAATATCTTGATGTACTAAGCTTTCGTATTCAATGATAGTCTGAAGAGTTGAGTTATTTGTCAGTCCCAATAAGAAAACGACACGGATAATATTAGGACTGTAATAAGTTGAGTTAAACGTTTTTCGTATATTGCGCCTTCTTTCAAAATGGTTGAGAGATGTATGAACCATCACAATACATGTAATCTTTGGTACACGTCGGCAGATAGCTTCATTGTTTATTTTGTACGGTTGTGTTAGTACTATCGGGTATGACGTTTCCATAAGAATATTACGTGTGTAAGCCAGTTGTGTGGATTTGGATTTGTTGATGGTTCGTTTTGTCAATGACAAAAGTGTTCTGTCTTTTCTAGTTTCACTGTAGCTTTGGTTTGCTTGGGTATTCATCAATGTCAGTAGAAAACCAGTTATACACACCATATTAACACCAAGCATCAATGTTTTATGCTTTAAGTTTTTTAACATCCTAGCCTAATTATCTATTATAGTTATACGTAGTTTCCACAACCCAGTAATCAAGATCTATTTACATATCTAGATCTGAAAAACAAGTTATAGTAAAGTTATATTGATATTTTAATGTAATTTGTCGAAACACATGTACCACTGAAGTGCAAAGTTCATATTTTGCATATCGAATGACCTTATCTTAATATCCAATGAAACCAGAATCATCATAAACCCTTTCTGGATAATCTGTTTCAAACTACATGTAAGGAATTAAATAGTTTTCGTCGTAATTTTAAAAATGTTACATTAAAATAGGAGACATGTGGAAAACAGAAGGCACTATGTCGTGCATAGGTACACATTCAATCGTCTGCATTTATTATTGTAAGCAAAGTTAACCGTTTATTGTAAAGTGACATCACAAGTGACCTTTCTGCATTATAGTGTCCAGAATATATTAGTCTACTAATATATCAATTAAACAACATAATCTTAAAAGATTTGTACAAGTTTACTATTTTGCAATTTCAATGGCCAAATGTAACGCTTATCAATACCTCCTCCTCGTTTAAATAATTCTTTCACAATAAATACCTTGCTTTTTCTGTGCAACTCAAAACGAATTCTAATTCTAGTTCGACCGGACATGGCTGTGCATTTATACATCATATACACCCAAGCGAAGCCCTTTACAGAAAGAATTTTACTGCCGGATGGGACTTGAAATAAAAAATAAAATTTAGGCGCAAATTCAAAATGTAGCTATTTAAATTAGGAAAGAGTCACCTTACAGGTTGTAATCTTGTGTCTGGCACACGTGTCTTTGGTTTAGAATATGGACCCAGGAAATGATGTCGAGGCCATAAACCTTCTCTCAAGCTAGATACCCCAGGAATAGATTACATGTACCTTAGCATGATTTATAACAAACCTTTCTAAAATTGTCCGTTTAAAAATTGCAAAATTATAAGAAACTAAGGTTTCAACTCCCTCAGGGTAAGTTGACCTTAGATGAATTTGGCTATTTTTTTTAGGTATTTTTGTCATATAGCTCTTCAACTGTGTCGGTACTTATACATACTCGGATTTCAAATGTTTGGCTTTGAGCGTTCCTGATGAAGGTAAATCCAGAAAAGCGCTTCGGACGCATGAAATTATTAAACGTGTTGTTTTCAATTTTTTTTAGCTGTATTTGGTAAACCTTTCGGAATTTTCGGTCATCAATGCTCTTGAACTTCATACTTTATTTTGCATTTATATTTTATTTGATAAGAGCGTCACTGATGGGTCTTACGTAGACGAAATGCGCGTCTGGCGAACAAAATGTTATTCCTGGTTTCAATGATGAGTTTATCTACACCTGAATACAAATTGTGATTAAGTAATTAAATGCCAGTCTTTGTTAGAATCAGACAATTTAGAAGAATTTCAAACATGGTAAAAAAAAAAAAAACAATACTGAGCTAAGCATTCTATTTTGAAGTAACCCTTGTCCTGAGTTAGAAATGGTAGGTATTTTGTTTCTGCGCGTCTGGTAATTCGAGAAATCTCTAGAGAACTTTTGGTTAGAATGATAGCAAATTACGGAGTCAGCTCCCCTTAATTGATAATTTCTAGTGCATTTCAACCAAATTATATCTTAAAATAACAAAACAGGAAAAGGAAACGAATGTTTTATTCATACAAAAAAAAAAACAATATACATTTTAAACTTAAATCAATGTAAACTTGAGTGGGTTGTTGTTTGTCATGTTTTCACCACTGCCTGATTCTTTGGCAGATTGGCACTTAATTCCATTAATTAATCCAAAAATGTATTACATGTCAAACAGATATTTAGACATGATGACCACCGATTTACCCAATTTTATCCTTATAATTCAAAAGACAATAACCTACATAAAACCAATAACATAGCCACAGAACATGACCAGGTAACACCTAATATTAAGACAGACATTTTTTTTCTGCAGAACCACCAATATATTCAAAAAAGTATTGCCCTAACATTCAAAGTAACTGTTGAATGACCAAACCACAAAAACCTTAACGTACATGACATAGCGTTGAATGTGTAGTACCAAATTAAATTGAAATATTCGTAAAAGAACGGAACCACTTTTTTCCTGAAGTCGCTGCAATTATTTGTTGGAAATTTATTGATATATATCTTTTGGAAAATGTTGTTTGTGCTGTATTTAGACCCCTCTACCAAGAAATTTGTTTTGCATGCACACGTATAAAAATTGCGGTTTTTATCCAACGCAATCATAGGTTTGAACTTAGACTTGTTTATATATATATATATATATATATAAGTGCCTATAAATAGCAACACATAACATACGAATCTATTTGAGTGTAGATTAATCAGTACAAAGATTACTTCAATTACACAAATAAAATTATCAATTGCCTAGCAATGTAATTTTAACACACTATTGAGTATGTAAATATTAGAATGTTTAAAATATTTACAACGCGATAAAAAATAAACGCAATATTTCGCTAGACAAACTAGCTTCATCAAGCGTGCATCTATCCAGGTGAAATCTGATGTAGATAAGAAATTTTTGCAGCTCACTGTACATAAATTTAGCTGTCTTGTAAAGAAATCAAAATTTGGATGAAGTTCAAGATTATTTATAAAATTGGTGGTTGAAGTTTGCAACGTCCATTTGTCACGGATATTGGTTTTATGTTAGTAATTGTCTTTTGAATTATAAGGATAATATTGGGTAAATCGGTGGTCATCATGTCTACATATCTTTTTGACATGTAATAAATTTATGGATTAATTAATGGAATGTAAAAAAATCCGTGACAAATTAGTGACAGCTGTATTAACAAAGCAACCTACTCCACCTCCCGGTTGCTACAAACAATGTGGCAGAAGGAATTGCTTATGCCAATACAAGCAGTTCTTTCATCAGCTCCATTACAAAACAAAGTTATACCATCTACTCAAATTCCAACTGTAAAACGGAGAACTAAATTTATGTACTAACATGTAACACTTGTGGCATTCAGTATGTGGGAGAAACAATGGATAAATTTAATATTCGGCTTAATAACCATCGTTCATGGTACAAAACTAACAAAAACTGTCCTCTCACAAGACATCTTCGCTCAAAGAAACATCCTTTTGATAATGTTACTTTCCAAATCATAGAAGTAAACACCGAGTGAGACACCACGGCAAGAAGGAGAAGAGAAAACTTTTGGATCCACCAGCTCCACACTTTAGAACCTGATGGTCTTAATGAAAAAGACACGAAAAGATACAGGAAAGATAAAGAATAATTTAGTACACAGCATCGTCCTTTTTATCCTGTGATATTGGCCAATGGACGTTGCAAACTTCAACCACCAATTTTATAAATAATCTTGAACTTCATCCAAATTTTGAATTCTTTACAAGACAGCTACTTTTATGTACAGTGTACTGCAAAAGTTTCTTATCTACATCCGATTTCACCTGGATAGATGCACGCTTGATGAAGCTAGTTTGTCTAGCTAAATATTGCGTTTATTTTTTATCGCGTTGTAAATATTCTAAACATTCTAATATTTAAATTACTCAATAGTGTGTTAAAATTACATTGTTAGAATAGATATGAGATATATATGTCAATGAAACAGCAACTCGTCGACACCAAATAACCAAACGTCATCTAAATTATTTGTTGAAATCTTTCAAGTTACCACAATTTAATTTTATTTGCAATGACAAAGTTTGAACTTGTTAGAATTTCAAACATTTTGTTGTCTGGCATAATGATTAAATCAGGTCATTTGTAAACAAGTTTCTTCAAGAGAAAACTGTCTTCAAAAGTATTTTTACCAATTATTCAGAGAGAACATGTATATTTTAAGGTTGTCTTAATTGAAATCTACTCTTATCTTTTAAAAGGAACTTTTTATTTGTTGCTTATTAAATCATTTCTGAACAGTTTGATAAACAAAACCTGAATCTTTTGTCGGTTTTATGAAAGAAAGTTTATACTTACTAAATCATAGAAAAAGTAGCGATGTTGATATATATTTACCATCAGTTTTCAACTCCACCAGTATACCCCAACTATCCCCACAACAATGAATAAATAAAAACAAGCTGTTTAGAACGCATCGTTCATACAAACCTGATAACCTGGTATAGGGATTACACATGTTACATTACTTCAGAGTTATGGTTACACTACTTCAGACACTATTTATGACTTATGAAGTACGGCGGGATGTAGCTAAATATTTAGAGTGAAATATATTAAGATCATTATAAATACTGTGATTACTTTATAGCTACAGGATGTTGAGTTATACAAATATAAAATTGCAAGAAAGTGGACCATTTTGTTAGTCTTTAATTTTCTCTCTGTCTAAGTCCAGAATGTTATTTCCAAGGAAACAAATATGTGTCATATTATCACCAAAAACAACAACAAATCAAAATAATCGCCAAACCCTGCCGCATTAAGTTGATCTAGGGGACAAGTTTGAGATAGTTCACAAGTTCGCAAAAAAGAAAATTCAGCGTCTCGGACAAATTAGTCTGATTCCGTGCCGAACCTAGAACCTAGAGAACAAGTTGGAGATAGTTTAAAGGTAACAGTCCGCATGGGAAGTTATCCTACTTAGCATAATTATTCTGACTCCCAGCCGAACCTTGGCTCTAAAGGACAAGAGAAAGATAAGTATTTTAACGTGTTTCAAATCTACTGCTGTTTTAAACAAATCGATAGCAAACCATTTGCAGACAAAAAAATGAATACAATAAAATTATTGACGGGAAATAATGATATTGTATTCGAGATATTGTTTAAAGATGACCTTGGATGCAAATATTATACTTGAACATATTTATTCAGCAATATTGAAAAAGTTGCAGACCAAACTAAGATAAGTTCTTGTTCCAACACGTAAACTTTTCAGTACTTTCAAAATATATCTTCTCAAAAGTACACTTATTCGGAATCTCATAACGAATGCAGTATATATGCTATATTCATTAGCGTTTTGCGTTGTTA